CCCCGGGGCGGCCGGCTTCAAGCTGCCACCGTGGGGTCGCCGAACGCAGAGCCGGCCGAGCAGAGCCGTGCATGCTCCCGCGTGCTGTGTCCACAGGCGTAAGTGACCTCGAGGGCACAGACCCCCCCCCACCCCGGGAAAACACTGGAGGGAGCTGGAGCCCTGTTTGGAGTAGTTATTACCCCTGGTTTGCATAATTTATAATTGTGCGTTTATATAATTTTTAATTGTGGCTGTGTGTACCAGTGGGTTCACAGAAGTCTTGACAGCTAACCATTAATTCTCCTGAGCCATCTTTTCCTTTCGGTTAACTTTTACTGGAGTATGCATGCACGTGTGCTAAGTCGCCTCAGTCGTGTTCAGCTCTTTGTGACCCCATGGACTGTAGCCCACCAAGCTCCTCTGTCCGTGGGATTCTCCAGGCAAGAATCCTGGAGCGCGTCGCCATGCTCTCCTCCAGGGCGTCTTCCTGACTCAGGGACTGAACCCGCGTCTCCTGCTTGGCAGGCAGGCTCTTTCCACTGGTGCCACCTGGGAAGCCCCTTGTAGGAGTATAGTTGCTTTATTAGCTTTGCAGCAAAGTGAATCAGCTACACACACGTCAGGTGTAAGACCAGCTTCCCAGGTGGCTCAGTGGCAAAGAATCCACCTGCCAAGCAGGAGACTCGGGTTCGATCCTGGGGTCGGGAAGATCCCGTGGAGGAGGGAATGGCAACCCACTCCAGTATTCTTGCCTGGGAAGTCCCATGGACAGAGGAGCCTGGTGGGCTAGTCTTTGGGGCCGCAAAGAGTCAGACATCACTTAGTGACTAAACAAGAACAGAATGGACAGACCAAGAGCCGCGCTGAGTTGAGAACTACACAGCAAATACCCGGGGACCAACTGGAGTGGGCAGCGGCAGCCTCGAGGTCATGGGAGACGTGACCCCTCATGGAAGGGGGGGTAGGAGATGTAGGAGTTTTGCAACAAAGGGCAGGTAGTCTGAACATCAAAAGATTATTTTTAATTAAGGGAAACCAGATATCCCAAGTTAAGGAATTTAATGCTTTTCTTTGTGTGGGAAGAGGCAAGGGTCTGGGCTCGCTGAAATCAGTCCTTTGATAGGCACCTCACTTAACTGGGGCTCCCGAGTCTCCTCAGGGCTCGCTCTGGGGCATGGCTGAAATCTGACAGCTGCCAAGCGGCAAGTAGGTGTTCTTTCCTTCCTGAGTCCCCCCAGAGCTCGCCAGCTCGCCATCCGTGGTGGCTGGGATCCCTGATGACTGTGGCATCCCTGTTCACTTATATGGCAGGACCTTCTCCACATCTTATTTATGAGACCGACATGATCCCCTTAGGCCTGATCCAAAGATCCTGGATTCTCCCTCCAACAGGACAGAAGCCTCCCCAACGCCCAGCTGCTGGCAGTCTGCCGTCCGGCTCCCCGGCTTGTTCAGGGGCTCAGCAGGTCAGGCGCCAGGCGCCAGCCATGCTGGTATTCTCCCCTCTCCCCCCACCAGGCACCAGACAGAGGACCCAGGGCAGGAAGGTCCCTGTTGATTTCACGGCAGCTGCTGACTGCGATAAAAACTAATCACGAAACACTCTCAGCAGTGGGGTCTCTTGTGCCAAGTTTGAAAGTAGTGGGTTTACAATCTCATTTCTCCTGAGATGGTCAGAGCGAGCATCGTGGCAGGGGTGACCCCGGCCCGGTCGCCTCGGTGAAATCACTAACTCGTGAGCAGCGCTGCCTCTGGACGGGTCTCCGCCAACCCGAGCTTCCAGCCCCAGTGTTGAGGAGAACCAGCAGAGAGCAGGGTGTCGGGCGGAGGCCGGACCACGCGGCCCAGAGGACTGAGGCCGGAGACTGGCCAGGCTGCAGGCACGCTGCCTCTGAGCCCGGCCGCATCACAAGGTGAAGCATCTGCGCTGCTGCCCCGAAGGAGTGAGCACAGGACGCAGGCACACGCTGCCTCTGAGCCCGGCCGCATCACAGGGCGAAGCATCTGTGCTGCTGCCCCGAAGGAGTGAGCACAGGACGCAGGCACACGCTGCCTCTGAGCCCGGCCGCATCACAGGGCGAAGCATCTGCGCTGCTGCCCCGAAAGAGTGAGCACAGGACGCAGGCAGCAGCTCCGACTAAACTACAGCCTAAAAGACGAGGGGCGTCCCCAGAGGCGGCCACAGACGGAACTGGCCGACCAGGCCCAGGTGAAATTGAATTGGAAACTGGCCCTGCTGATTAGCATAACAAAAGTTTCATTCTGTGTAAATGAAGGGGTGGTGAGGGGGAGAGGCCCAGCTTCTGTCCAGCCTGGACTGATCTGGACAGAGGGGTGAACCCTCCGGTAGACACAGGCTCCCAGCAGCCCCGCACACGCCTCCACTCCTCTTCTATTAGGATGGGGACTGACCAGCTATTGAAAACTGCATAATGGGCGCACACACACACGTACACACACATGTATTTTCCCTACTTTATAGGAGACCAAAGGCAAGCTTCCAGTGGTCATGTATGGGTACGAGAGCTGGACTAGAAAGAAAGCTGAGAGGTGAAGAGTTTATGCTTGTGAACTGTGGTGTTGGAGAAGACTCTTGAGAGTCCCTTGGACTGCAAGATCCAGCCAGCCCATCCTAAAGGAGATCAGTCCTGGGTGTTCACTGGAGGGACTGATGCTGAAGCTGAAGCTTCAATACTTTGGCCACTTGATGCAAAGAACTGATTCATTGGAAAAGACCCTGATGCTGGGAAAGATTGAGGACAGGAGGAGAAGGGGACGACAGAGGATGAGATGGTTGGATGGCATCACCGACTCAAAGGACGTGAGTTTGAGTAACCTCCGGGAGTTGGTGATGGACAGGGAGGCCTGGCGTGCTGCAGTCCATGGGGTCAGACACGACTGGATGACTGAACTGAACTGAAAGGCAAGCTTAGCATGCTTTACTAACCAAAATTCAAAAGTCCAGTGATTCAGATAAAGACAATACTGACCACATTTGGGGATTTACTTTATACCAGGGATTTAGAGATTAGCCCCATTTATCAAAAAATATGGATTATTTTTGTTATTATTTAATCTATTAAAAGCTATTAGGATGAGCAGCCATGGAAAAAAAAAGAAAGGAAAATAGGAGTTAGATCTTTGTCAGGAAAGCAAAACATCCCGATCCTCATCCCATGCTAATTCTAACGTATACTTGAAGTTGGGCTTCCCTGGTGGCTCAGTGGTAAAGAACCCACCTGCAGAGCAGGAGATGCAGGGGACGCGAGTTCAATCCCTGAGTGGGGACGATCGCCTGGAGAAGGAAATGGCAACCCACTCCAGCATTCTTGCCCGGAGAATCCCATGGACAGAGGAGCCTGGTGGGCTACAGTCCATAAAGAGTCAGACAGGACTGGAGCAACGGAGCGTGCACACACGTGAAGTTTGGTGACGACGCTGCAGTGGCATAAGCACTGCACTGAGTCTGTTCCGCGGGCCAGGCGCCTTCCCAGGCTCTTCTCATGACCAGCTCTCAAAGCGGTATTGTCACTCCTATTCCACAGACAGGGACACCAATGTTCACTGAAATTAAGCAATTGTTTACCAGGTAAACTGGACCAAACTCTTGTCAAAAAGACAAGACCTCACTATTGACCAACAGGAATGTCCATGAGCTGATCTGCCACCGCCTCGCTCACACTGTCCTTGAAAAATCTGCCCTGAAAGTCCTGGAGGAACTGGGTCATCTAAGCATCAGCTGGCCGCAGTCCTGCTCGGCCCTGTAATAAGCGCCTTATTTGCCTCCACCACACGCTGGTGGCAGTAGCAATGGCTTTAATGCACATGGGGCCAGCAGACCCAAGTTCGGTCTGCACGTCACACACACGTGTGTTGGGTGTTATTAGCGAGGACTTAGAGGTGTAACAAGGCGGGCTGCAGAGAAGGCAGGGCGATGCCGTCTCCATCTGCACTGGCTCCTTCAGGATTCATGAGTCTAAGGACATAACTAAGGACGAAGAAGAGGCTGCCAGCCGTCTGGCCAGCGAGCCCTCCTGTGGCGTGAGAGCCACGGCGCGTCTTCACACTCCCGGGCTGAACTTCAAGGTCACTGAACTCCACCCTGGCTTCTTCTCACGAAAGGAGGAAGCCACCCGCGTTGCCGTATTTACACTGTAGTTTGTCTGTGGTCATTTTAGTCCTGTTGAAATCACTAAGTGTCCTGCCCCACCAGCACCAGATTACACTTTGGCCTTATTCTATCCAAAGAGCTGAAATAGACTCTTCAAAATCTAAGTTGTTACTTTTGTATCTAAAATAGATTTTTTTTTTAATGACCTTTTCTAACTGAGTGGTAAAAATAGAGAAGCATGAAGGGAAAAGAAAGATCAGTGAAGCGAGGTTGGTTTTATTTCATGACACAATCAGCAAATCATAACATTTACCTAAAACAGGATTTCTGGGTCTTTGGCAGATAAACGTAGTCCCCTAGAGCCATGCTTAGCATCGCTCCTGTGATGGTGAAAAGGTTTCATGCCTGCTTCATCCGTAACAGTGGCCAGGAGCCACCTGTAGCTTGTTGGACACTTGGAAGGTGGTGGGTGTGACTAAAGAACTAAAGTTTAATTAATTTAATTTGAATGGATTTGAATTGAACAGCCGCAAGTAGCCAGGTACTATCGCACTGGACGATGCAGCTCTGCAAGATACAAAATCATCTCATTCAGGGCTGACCTGCCCAACCACACGGCTACTTTGTCTACATCCTAAAAACACCATCTTAAATAATAAATAGGATACCCGATGCCTGTGAACACCCTCTGTCCTTCTTAAACGCGGACACTTGTTCATGTCCAGGGAGACCCCAGTCCACCGAGAGGCCCTGGGATCGAGGCCACGGGAGACTGAGAAGGGAGGGAAAATCGAGAATTGAGAGAAGAAATTTAAAAGAAGGAAATGCAGGAAAACAAGTGAGAAATGAAAGAACAAAGGAAAAGAGAGAGCCTTTTGGGAGCAGGGTCACAAAGACCCCCGGGTGGTCAGGCGGCACCCCCGGATCCGTGGCACTGTGCGGTCCCGTCTGGGGACAGCAGGCTGCTCAGCGTGGGGAGGGAGGGGGCGGGTAAAGCGGGCATCCAAGAGCAGAGCAGGGAGGCCCCCGGGGCAGCGGCGGCGGGGGACGCGCACGCCAGCCTCTGGATGGACGCTCCCAAGCCGCACACACGCCACCTTCCAGGGCCTGGAGGGCGTGTCGCACCGGCCATCATCCCCACTGTCCCTTCAAAGGCCACCCAGCCTCCAAAAGCTGCCCCCTCCACTGCCCGCCGGCCTTCCTTCAAGGAGACGTATCGCGGAGAACAGCCGCTGAGCTGCCTGGCTTGTTCAGATATCCTGAATGCACACTGTTTAGTATTTTCTGCAAAGTATCCATTTCGGATGCATTTAAAGGGGACTTTAAAATAAACACCGTGCAACTCATTATGTGATAGGTTCTCACCTCTGAGCAGTGTGGGCAGATCCTGTGTCCTGTTACACGCTCAGACCTACGGACGGGGAGCTGCTCTGAGTCTCGTCCACGCTCGGACACAGCCTCCGCAGCCCCTTGGGACGGATCCCCGCCCCGCTACCGCATTCTCTATCGGCAGGCAGGGCGGCCCGCCTGCATGTCCACACTGGGCCCTCCGGCCCGTCCACGTCCAGCCGAACAGGAGGAAATGCACACAGCTCCTGACCTGGGCTGGGCTCACCTGGCCCTCGCCTGTTGCTTCTGTGCTCTCTACCCACTCGGGCTCCGGGCTCCGTACCTGCCCAAGCTGTGCCGCCCATGTTCCCTGGAGCTCAAGATCAGTCCCAGGCCATGGTGTGGGGGGTCGTCACGTGGGGGGCTGTGGCCAGTGTTTGCCTGAGGCTGCGCCCCCCAGAGCCGGCCAGCCTTCCTGAGTCTGACTGTCCCCAGGCTCCCCACCCACGACAAGACTCTGGCTCACATCTCCCCATCTGTCTCCTCCTGTGTGTGTGTTGTCTCAGCTGCAAACTGAAATATACGACAGGACACACGATCCCACAACTTTCCCCAGATGTGTGAATCTATTCACGTGCAAAGTCGCACAAGGTTTATTTTCTGCTGTCACCTTTAAGTGCACATGCAGTAGGTTCTTTGCAGGAAATAGTAAATGATGAGAAATGACGAGAGCTGTGGATAATCAGGGGTGTACAGTTGCTTGTTCTTCACAGAATATCTGTCCCTAATTGAGTGTCTTCTGTTGAAAGTGTTTCTTCCCCTTCATCCATCCTTCAAAGCTCATCGTTCTGCCCTGAACCTCCGAAGGGACCTTATTTGGAAATAGAGCAAGTGCTGGTGGAATCAGTGGAGGTCCTACCGCTGGCACGAGGCCTTCACACTCTGACTGGCGTCCTTATAAAAGGGGAGTCTGGACACAGAGGACACCCCAGGAGAGGCCGTGGGCAGGCTGACCTGTGCTGCCACAAGCCAGGGGTCAGCAGAGACCTCGGAGAGGCGGGGACAGACACCCCAGCCCGTGAGGGATCGGGCCTGCCCACACCGCCGCCCTGATTTCTGCCCGGAGGGTGTGAAAGAATGAAGGCGCGCAGTCTGTGGCACTTGTTACAGTGGCCCTGCGAAGCTGATTCAGCAAGAGCCTTAAACAGATCAGGATTCCCAGGCAGTAAAGAACCCAGCTGCCAACGCAGGAGTCGCAGGAGGCATGGGTTCAATCCCTGGGTCCAGAAGGTCCCCCCGGAGAAGGGAATGGGAACCCGCTCCAGTATTGTTGCCTGGAGAATCCCCTGGACAGAGGGGCCTGGTGGGCTAAGTCCATGAGGTCGAGAAAGAGTCGGACAAGTCTGAGCACACACATGGTCGATCACCTACATAGCATATTTCCCGAGAAATAAAGCCTGTAACTTAGCACCTCGGGTTATTTATTCCTGTTTGTTTGTTTTTCCTGAAGCCAGATGAAAGCACAGCCTGATCGTATCTTTGCATCTCCCAGGTAATTATCCCAGGGATGATCAAGTCAGAGCTGCTCGTAAACACTCGTTAATTTTCCATCAGGACACGTCATCCTAAGTATTCATCATAAACCTCTTTCAAAGGGCAAACTCCCGCAGAACATTTAAAAATAGGATCTGATTTGCCGGCATCTGCAGCGGCCACTTTCCACGGAGCCAGGCACACCTGCTTCCCTCCGCAGAGGAAGAGCGCTGCGGTGCGCCGCAGCCCCGAAGCCCGGAAGTGCAGACGCTGCGCGCGGCCGGGCGTGCCATCTGCTCTCGCGGCGCGCGGATCGTGCGTATCGCGCCGGCAATTAATCCTGTATTTTTGTAGCTGAAATCACAATGCTCATTTCAGGACGGAGCTGGAGTGAGGAGAGCCTATCTATATCTGTAAATGGATGATATCATTATTTTGGGAAATGGAAGTTTAAGCTCGGCGAAACGTACAATCCCACGGAGATCTCCGTGGAGGAACTTGCGTGCGCAGGTGTTCAACGTGATAAGGTGCGTTGCCATTTATCTGTGTACTTGCAGGCAAATATTAACATAGTCATGAATTAAGCTTTTAATCCCCTTTATTATAAATTGAATATCTTTATTTTAACAAACATCAACAATGCACATTATTGTGGTCCCAACTATTCATTACTATTCCCCACTGTGAACCGTTACATGATACGCGGTAATACACGTGTTTCTGGAGCGGCAGGCGTCTGTGAGCCCCTGCAGTATATCTCATTCTTCCTCCCAGCCTAAACAAAGACGTGCGCTCACAAACACGCTTCTCATGTCGGGGAGGAGAACCACGGCTCAGTCCTGTGCCCGGGAAGTCTGGGACTGTGATTCATGCTGGAGGCATTGGTGAGAAACCCATATTCTGTCAGAAAACTCGAACAGAGCTGAATTGAGGTGCCATGCTCAGAACATCACACCTCGGGGCCTGGCACAGCCCAGGTGCTGAGAGGCCAGGTATGGGTCAGATCACCGCTTGTTCCAGCCCCTGGTGACTCGTGGTGTCAATCTAGGCCCAAACCTAGGAGAGAAGAGAGGGTGCATGCTCCAGTGGTGACCGAAGGTGGGCGATTTTACCCACGGAGTCAATATCACATGTATTTGGACAGCCTCTGTGTGCAGACTGACTTCGAGAACGTCTGACTGCAACGTGTTGACAGCAGGGTGAGGAGCAGCTCAGAAACTCACGGACACGCTGCAGCCCGAGTGTAACAGGCGTGCATGCTTAGTTGCTCAGTTGCGTCCAACTCTTTGCAACCCCATGGATTGTAGTCTGCCAGGCTCCTCTGTCCATGGGATTCCCCAGGAAAGATTACTGGAGTGGGTTGCCATTCCCTTCTCTAGAGGATCTTCCCGACCCAGGGATCAAACCAGCATCTCCTGCATTGGCAGGCGGATTCTTTACCGCTGAGCCCCCAGGGAAGCCCAAATAGGACAGAGGCAGACCAGGTGTTTACTGGGGGGATGAGTAATGGAGAAAAAGGAAGGACCTCTGAGCCCGGGGACGGAGGCGGCTGTGGGGTGTGGGAAGAGGAGTCAGGGACTCTGCAGACCCGCAGACAGTCATGGACCAAGAAGGGACTCCGTGGTCAGGATTCTAGACTGGACTGCCTTTGATGAGCTCGGAAACCAAGCCCCACTGTGAGGAGCCCCACAGAGGCTCCGGGGGCACACCGCCGACCTCTCAGGAACCGGTCTCTGCCTCCATCTGCTGTTTCTAACCTTGAGTCCACTCTCATCCCACACCATCAAGAGCACACATGTGTGTGTGCACACAGCCTGAGAGTACATGGAAACCGTGTACATACAAGTCTGTCTCAGGTCGCATAATCACTGACCAAGCACCCTGATGGCAAAGGCGACCTGGGCTGGAAGCAAGCCCAAACCGACGCCCTGAAGAGGCAGCGCGGCACCCAGGGGCCAAGCGAGGACGGCAAAGACCCGGCTGCCCCAGCGCCCGCGGGGCCCCCGGGGCCTGCGGCTTCTGAAGGGGGCGCCCGACACGCGGGATGGCAGCCGCGCCGCTGTGTGTCCTCGCGACCAGGTGTAGGTGATCACCCGTCACATGCCGCTTGACCACGTTCAAGGGCCTCACAAATAAAAGTGCAAGACGTCTGCACAGCCTGCACGCCGAGGGTGGAGGCGACACCGGCCGAGTCCCCCCTTCTTCCAGCCGTGGGCCCCACACACGAAGAGCCAGAACTTGGAATAAACCAGAAAGTAAAAACTGCAGCTAGACCCAAGTCCCCAAAGAGCGGTAGCACTGAAGCCACTCCTGACGGGTTCCTCATCCCTGCCTTAGACTCTCTCAGGGTTATTTTTCTCTCCCTGCACTTAAAGGAATATTATTTCTCAAGTTAATACTTGAGAATCAGAAGGCTTATGGTTTCCAGATAAAATTGGGAGCATGTTTCTCCAACAGTGTTACCTAGAGACCTTGTTTAATCCGTAAAATACAAATGCTGGAAATCCATCCTGGTGACATAAATAAACCAACTGAATGGGGAAGCCCGCAGATGCCTGAGGCACGTGCTTTGTTGGCAAAGCTGCCTGTCCAGTTTAAACAATCAGTCATCCTCATCCCCTCCCCAAAGATGTCCTGATTATTCTATTTCTTCAAATGCTACATATTCAGATAACTTCCCTAGTTTTGCATATGGAACTACATCATTAGCTCCCAAAGTCGCATCCGATGCCTGCTAGCAGGCCTCCAGGCCCTGCAATTGGCTCAGAGTCCAACACTGTCATAAGGACATCTTTCTATGACAGCACGTCACACTCCAGTCACTGAGCTCGCTCGGGAAAGCAAACCCCACGTAGGCACAGTTCCAGGTGCTCAGGAGGAAAGAGAGCTTGGCCTGCCCCACCGTGCTATCCAGGAGGAGATGGGGAGTGTGGGGCCAGAGGCTACGGTCCCATAACTGGGACCTCATCAGGGACCCCGTGGCTGGGGTCTCATCAGCCACGGATGAGGACGCCGGGCCCTCGGGTCAGGAGGCGTCCGGAGGAAGCCTGCAGTGTGGTCCATCAGCTTGTGACTCTCGGCAGGACATGCCCAGGGGCTCTAAACGGGATTACGGACACACAAACGTCCATCCTGCTCACGGCGTGATTTTACCGTCACTTCAGTTTAGGATTGCAGAGCTCAGTCTTCAAGAGGTCTCCGAGACCTTCCGCTGAGCCGGGGACGCAGAGCAGGATCTCGAAAATGACTCTTCACCTGAGCCACCTGGCTGCAGGCCTGGCAAGCCTCTCTGTGCCTTTGTCCCTTACCCTGTATTTTGGGGGTTTGTTTTTTATTCTAATAAGAGCAGAATTCTGCTTTAAGTGCATGCCTTACGCTTTACTAATAGGTCTGCCTTCAAATGGGGCTTCCCCGCTGGCTCCACAGGTCAAAAATCCACCTGCAATTCAGGAGACACAACAGGTTCCATCCCTGGGCCGGGAAGATCCCCTGGAGGAGGGCATGCACCACTCCAGGATTCTTGCCTGGAGACTCCCATGGACAGAGGAGCCTGGTGGGCTACAGTCCCTGGGGTCACAAAGAGACACGGCTGGAGACTGACACGCGCACACACTATCTTAAACTTAACACACACACAGAGTAAGATTTTTAAATGGCGTATCTTAGGTACAACTTGGAGATTACTCAATTTTCATTCATTCATTATATTATTTAGACACAAACTTTGCTCTTGCCCCCATTTTGTCCCCTGGGTTCATGACGATGGAATCACTGCGGGTTCTTCTCTCGGATCAGGTCTGCATGTACCCCCAAATCTGGGCATCAAGCCACCTCCTTGCATCTCTAACCCAACTCTAACTTCATGAAGGACAAATGCTACTTTATCCATCTATGTTGGCTAAGGCACTTTGTATCAAACACTGTCTTCTTTTTGTGCTTTCTTTCCTGTTCTGCTACTACAGTAATTTCTCCAAAATGTTAGGTGCTTTTCCTGGTAAAATTCCTATTTTTCCCACCTCCATGGGGCCAGAGGTGAAAGGACAGTTGAAGAGTTCTGGATCACTTTTGATGCCACTGGTCCGTGTAGTTACTCAGTTATTTCCATGAGTCCCAGTTCCCCCTCTTCCAGCAATAAAAACACTCCATCTGTACAGGCTATTACTGAAAAGTCATCATAATTACTCTCTCACTGATTAATAATTCACCTCTCATATATGTGTGAAAGCCACAAAAATCTCAGCTTGCACAAAACTGTACTGAGACCTGGGTCTCCTTCACATGAACTGTCTCCAGTGTCCGAACACCTCCAGGAGGGGTGATGATGCCTGCAAACGGTGCAGGACTTCCCACCCTTAAAAGTGATCAAAATTGGGAAAAAAGCAAAAGTAGTGAAGGCCTGATCTCCAGCATGACGGCTCCAGTGACTGCTGCAAATTTTGAGGAATATGGTCTGAACAACACAACCAGTCAGACTGAATACAATTCAGAACTGGGTCTCCAGTTTCCCTCCAGAGGAGAGCAGTTTGCAGCTGGAGGTGGGACCCTTGGGCCACAGCCCCAGGCCCATCTGCAGGAGCTACAGTGCAGGTGTGGGGGGAGGGACAGAGGAAGGATGGGCAGGACCACCCAGGCCCCGTCCTCCCCCAGGGGGATGTACTCTGAGCCCTGGCAGCAGGCTGGGGACCAGAAGGCAAGATGTGGGAGAGGTGGTTATTCCCACGGTAAGGCAGGACTAATAGTAGCAGATTGGGGAACCCTGAAATCTGGGGGTATCTTGCCAGAAGACTGGATACACCCCCAGCCTGGAGGACTCAGCCCAGTACAGATGGTCGGGGGGTGCAGCCCCAGACACCAAGCACTCCTCCTCCGCACCCTGGACCTGGCGTGGGGGTCCCGCAGACGCAGGAATGAGAGAATGAGATGGGAGCCCCAGAGAATCAGCTGCTCTGGGCAGCAAACTACAGCCTCAGGCAGAACAGTCTCCCCTTGATGTCAAAATTAAGAAACAGCAAAAAAACTGCTGTGAAATTTCTGCAAAAATTTTACTACAACAAAAAAAAATGGAGATCATACACGTAAAAGAGAAATGAGAGAAAACTTCAGAATATGATGTACCCCAGGAGACAAAGTCAATTCTGTAAAACCACTCATATGCATAACTAAGAAAATAGTGAATTGGATGGCATCACCGATGCGAAAGACATGAGTTTGAGTAAGCTCCGGGAGCTGGTGACGGACAGGGAGGCCTGGAGTGCTGCAGTCCATGGGGTCACAAAGAGTCGGACACGACTGAGCGACTGAACCGAAGTGAAGACAGAAGATGGGACTATGAACAGAAGGTGAGAAGAAAAGGGAGCCTGTGTCTAAAGGAGAAACAGAGTATACACCTACTTGTTTTTCAAGAACCTTACATTTTCAATGAAAGTCTTGTAAGTTAAGTATATGCCTTCCCCAAAAAATTAACTCAAACTGAAACTATGAACCCACAACCCACATGGGAAAATGCAACAAACCAGGCTTAAGTGGTGAATTAATTATTATGCCTGAGTACTGCTTTTCCACAGCTAAATTATAAATAGAATAATTATCTGAAATGAAAAAACCAAATTAAACTAAAAAAAAGCCGAGCCCTAGTGAACTGCCTAATCCTCCTGATGAACCTGAAATGAAACGGTGAAGCTTTATTCTTTGGCTTCAGCGTCCACCATGGTGCGGGGAGTGGGGTCAGGTGCCAATAGCAGGTTCCGTAGGGTTAGGAACCGCCTCTAGAAAGTGCTTCCTGCTCAAGCATCAGCGTGCTGACGCTCACGTGGACTCCCGCGAGGCAGCCGCGTGCAGCGGAGCCGGGACCCAGCCCTTGACGCTGTGCGTGCGCCGGCCGCAGCGTCCTAAAAGGAGATCGACAGCCCTGAGATTACGGGCCCAGGCTGCTGTCGGCAGCGTTCCCTCGTGGAGCAGAGTTAATTAAGAATCACAAGCTAAATAAAGCACCCCAGGAAGATCATCTTCCCCCATAATTGAATTGTGAACGCCGATGCTTGTGAGTTCAACTGTCTTAAATTAATGAGCCCTGTCTGGTGGGATCCGGGTCTTTCTTAAAATGGAAATCACACCATCCATCTTGAACTGCGGCCCTTTCCCGATGCGAGTCCTATTTTCTCTGCAGTCACCCACTTACCCTTCCCCGATGCAAGTGGTGTTACCTCTGTCGTCACCCATTTGCTCTTCTAGGAGAGCCCTGCTTCTCGGGACAATAACGTCCGTGAAGAAGAGCCTGCCAGATCCGACTTGTGGGTGACTGTTGTTTTGCTCATCTTTGCATAGAACTCAGACTGGAATAAAGCAAACATATTTACGGCTTTTATGGATTTATCCTCAACCTTTGCATACGTAAGAGTAACCCAATCCAGGCTAAACTATATGTGCTCCATTTAGAAATGCTACTGATGAACACTTATTCAAAATCTGTCCCTTAACGCTACCTCGGTGTCAACATGGGTAGCAAAATTCTTCTGATGCCTCACGTGATAATTCCTAGTATGGCAAACAAGAATATTTTTAACCTCATGTATTTTGGGATGAGCTCCCCATGTGCTTGCTCCCAGCCCATCCCCTAGAAAATTAACACACAAGGATTTCCCACTGCAGACAGCACAGCTTTAACGTTACCAAGAGGACTTGGTAACAGTTAAGTTTCACATGTTTGATGCCAGTCACCATTATTCAGCTGGGTTATAATTAATGATCTCCTGCAGCAAGTTAACTCTCTGTTACCACTGAGAGCATTTGGCCACTTGGTTATCTTGGAAGTTTCATAATATGGCATTTTTTAATGTGTACAGATATTTTACTGTATTTTTTTTTCAAATGACTGAGATGAGCACTGTTATAAAAGTGGTTTGGGGCTTTTTCCAGGCTAAGATACTGCAGCCATGCCAAACTGCATTTGAATTTCAAAGCCTTAATCCATGGTGAGTCTGCCACGAAACCCGTGCAAACAGGGACATGCCTCATAGGGTCTGCGGGCAGCTCCCGCTCTGCTGCTTCCAATGATAGGGAGGTGGGGACAGAGGGGAAGAGGGGCCTTGGAGGCCGCGCCTCCCATGAGTCCTGCCTCTTTCACCAGGTGGGCTGTGAGCTTCCTCTCGGTGAGCTGGCGGTCGCCTGTACCACGTGCATCCTTCTCGGGGATGTTCAAAGTGCTCCTTCACCGTCTCCAAGGAGGAGGCGGTGACGGGAATGTGGCAGCCACAGTCCTGGACTCCAGGTGCTGGGCGTTGGCTGTTGGACCCCTGCCGTCTCATCTTCTGGGGTGACCCACCCACACTCTCTACGCTCAGGGCCCCTCCTTTATGGATGGTTCTTAGCTCACAACAGGGAGTGATTTTTTTCTTTTTCTCTCATCCACCAACCAAGGCACATTTTCAAGCAACACCACCTCTGATAGTATCTGGCCTAGCATATAAGGGGAAGTTAGATATATTCACAGATACATCTGCATACCCAAGCCCATATCATGTAATGTGTACATATATGTGCAATTGCACACATGTATGTGTACAATATATACATGTGCATGAACACATATGTAGATGTGGAACTTAACTGGGAGTTAAATCCCACCTGGCTTCCCTTTCTGGCTCATCCACACCCCAAGGTGTGGGGCCTTGCACTAAGCTCTTTGCCATTTCTGGATGGAAGTTTCATCAGATATTAAACCAGAGTAATAAAGATGCCTTCCTCAGAAGTCTTGTGAGGATTTATGCTGAAGTGTCTAGAGGGATGCATGTTGTGAGTGGTGAAGAAGCATCAGCCCTCAGACCCGCCTGTCTCCCATCCGTGTGGCGGGTGTCAAGGGGCCCACCTGCAGACATGGGGTTCCACAGGCGGACAGCCTGCAGCCTGAAGCCTGGCTCAGGGACCACCAAGCTGGAGTGAGCCGCCCTGCCGCAGGGCACCCCTCGCCGAGCAGCCCACGTTCCAGGAAGCTAAGAGGCCATCCACGTTCAGGGCCCCCAGTGGGGCCAGCTGAAGCTTCACTGACTCCGTGTCCAGCCCCATCAGCTGCAGGCCCAAGCCCACCTTCTTCCCGTCCTCAGCTGTAGGTCCCCAGAGTTCTCCTGGAACAAATGTCCTGCACGCGGTCCCCCCTCAGAGACGGCTCCGCAGGAAACCCAGACCCCTCATTTTCCTGAAGGGCTCTGATGACTATTCTGCTGCGATTATACCATCTTCAGGACACACGGGGTGATTTTAGTGACCCGTGGATGACCAAGTAACAAGGCAAGAAAAGTGAGCAAGGGTGAAACCCATGACTCCATGCAGGGTACTGCTTATTTAAAAGTTAAATAGGAATTTAAATTTTTTAACAGAAATCAGTAAGTGCTAATTATATGGTGGTGGCAGTTGGATAGCAAAAACTCCAGGAAGGCAGTGCAGAAATGAAGATGTTTGGGGAAACGGCTGATTCTGGCTCTCCATTTTTAGCCAAATGAGGTGTCTGCACAGCAGGCTCTGTTCAGGCAGCAAAACCCTCCTGGCCCACTGCTACTGGGCATTTGTCAACACTTCATCCAGACACATCACCACCAGGACGGCTGGTGAAGGACGCGGTCATCTGCTGCTCTGCTCAGCACCAGACCAAGAGCATGTCTAGGACTGTTTCAGGACCCTGTTCGTAGGACTGTTACCATGCTGGATTCAGGTTTACCAGCAGCCCATCTGAAAGGGCATCTTGAGAAACAACTCTTGAAAGCTGTCCTTGTGGCCACTACCAGGATGGCATTCAGCTCTCCAGGAAGCCTCACGAGGGAATTTTCTCTGAGGTCTTAACACCAGGTGAAGTCCCACCGAGCACACATGTGGATGCGTGTTTGTTACATGAATCTAGGTCCTGCATCTGGTTTGAATCCCTCAGAGTGTAGCGCAGCATTTTGTACAAGTAGATAGGCCAAAAAAACGTCTTGAATAAGTGACAAAAATACATTAAAAATAAGCTTAAATATTTAAAAACTAAGCAGAGAACTTTTCATTAAGAGTTGGATGGCGCTGATAGAGACTATAACAACTAGGACCATCCTGCAATACAATGAAGACCTAGCATAGCAGGAGGCCAAGGGACGCTGACTTCTGTTTCCACGAGGGATGAGGCCCGGGGAGAAGGCAGTGCCAGTGATGCCCACGGGGTGTGATAATTCCAGGAAGAGAAGCCTTGCTTGTTACCCGAGGGTAATGCCGGCCAGGGACCAGCTCTTCACCCTGATAGCACTGAGCAAGACCTAATCTGTCAGGTTCTTAGTCTGCGAGGGCTGCCCCAGCAAAGCACCCCAAGCTGGGAGGCTTGTAAACAGCAGACACTCACTTCTCCCGGTTCCAGAGTCTGGAAGTCGGGGATCTGGGTGCTGGCATGGTTGGGTTCTGGTGAGGGCCTTCTTGCTGGTTTACAGACGGCCACCTTCTCCTCTGTGTCTTCATGTGGGAGCAGATGGGGGCAGGTGGATGGGAGCGAGAGGAAGCTTCCTCCCGCATTTCTTATAAGGGCGCCAACCCCACCATGAAGCTGCACCCTGTGCTCGATCGCCTCCCAAAGCCTCACCTCCTAACCCTGGGAGCCAGGGCTTCCCCACAGGAAGCGGGGGTCGGGGGGTACAGTGTGCAGTGAAGACTCGCAGCCGCTTTCTGAGAAGGGTGGTTCTCCCTCAGGGTGTGTTTATGCTGATCGTCAGCATACATACGGCCCGGGGTAGAAGTTCTGATCCAGACTCTGATGTGCACATGAAAACCACGCTTCTGCGACAAGAACGTCTCTGCAGCAGAGGAGACCACCCAGATTGGATGTGGGGGGCGGGCAGCCTGCTCCTGGAACACTCGGTGGCCCCCCACGGGGTGGCAGGGGTCAGGAGGCAAAACCCAGGGCACCTGCCTTCCCTGGCGGCTCAGACAGTGAAGAATCTGCCTGGAATGCAGGAGACCTGGGTTCGATCCCTGGAGAAGGAAATGACAACCCATTCCAGTATTCTTGCTTGGGAAATCCCATGGACAGAGGACCTGGTGGGCTACAGTCCATGGGGTCTCAAAGAGTTGGAGACGACTGAGCGAGTAACGCTTGCAGATAAACCAATAACTATGTCTCCTAGACACATATGCACTAAAAAACTACTCATGGTTTATCAGAAATCAAAACCTGACATTAACTGGTGACTCGACCCTAACATCTGATTAGACCCAGTGAATATCACTTTCAAGAGCGCCAGCATGTGTCTGCCATGCAAACCTCCTTCAGAGGCCACTTCCCCATTGTGATGGGGCCAAGGAATAAGCCAGCCATGGGCTGACTCCAGAAAGGGAAAAAAAGGGGCGGGGGGGCTCCAGGCTATGTTCACGGTAAACCTACAACTGTGCCATCAGCAAATTAAAATCAATTGAAATCAATTTAGCCGGATAAAGTCTCTCCCCCCGGGCTGGGGCTCATCTGCTGTGCTAACAGCTCCAGCAATGAAACAGGTGCTTGTAAATTAATTAGCCTCCTGAAACACACCTTAAAATGAATTTCCCAGAACTCCCTGGCAGGGAGCCATCCTGGCCCCAAGAGCTGATCAGCGTCTGTAAATATTGAGATTTGATAAAGTGAGCACCGCTCCGGCAGCAGATGGCTGGCGCTGATCCGTTCACCCTGCCTGGATGACGCATTCGAGGCCCCCGCCTGGCGGGCCCCCTCTGGGAGCCAGGGAGGACCCCGGCCCCTCACAGCTCTGTGCTTCCTAATTGAAAATCCTTATTCCCAGATGGAGGCCCGTGCACCGCTCCAGGCCCCGCTCAGCGCTGCCTGACTGTTGATACACGGGTAATTGCTTCCAGTAATGCAGGTTAAATGTGACATTTAGTGCTTAATAAAAATTATCAAGGCCAGAGCCGTTTATCATTCCCACACTTCGGGCTGTCACTTGTAAGGGGATTCTCAAAATTCATTTGAATTCTCAAGCAGGAGACGGGCAGCTCCTCCGCTGCAAAGATGTCGCAGAGACAACTCGGATTGTGGGGGCCTGCCTTCTTTCCTCCTTTTGCTTTATTTGGTACTTTTAGAAGATTTGTTTGTTAACAAATAAAGATTCCAAATTAACCTATCACGCGCTGAGTCACCTCCTCTGTGTTTGGCGGTTGGTGAATAGTGTATAATCAGCGGCTGTTGAGCGCAGAACGTTGAAGGCAGATGCACCATTCTGCACCTCCCGCCTGGGGCCGCAGCCCTGAGATCCACGCCGCCCCGGCCCCTCACTCCCCAGGCAGCACGAAGAAGGGAACCTGGGGGGAAAAGACCACATTGGCCTCGCTAGATATCACCACCAGCGGCTCTAAATAAAGAAGCAGAAGTTGTTATTTAGATGGAGAGCTTGGGGTTCCTCCCCCAGGGTGGTTTTGCACCAACAGTGGGAAGGATTTCAGAGCTGGCCTTCGGGAGAAGCCCCCTGCTCAGGTGGGCTTTCCAGCAGAGCCTGGAGCAAGCTGCGGGCACTGGCAGGCAGCAAAAAGCACAGCGTGCCAGGCTGCTCAGCAGAAACGCCAGGAGAAACGGCTGTGCTGATACACCCAGGCAGCACGCCGTCAGGAGTTTGAACCTTCCTCAAGCCCTTCCCCAAAATGCTCCACGGCATTATCCTCAACGGCTGCAGTTCGTTTGCATCCCCCACAAATTCACGTCGTTTCCAGTGGTCCTGTATGGAGGTCAGAGCTGGATGCTGGAGAGTTGATCCTTCCGGACTGTGGTGTTGGAGAAGACTCCTGAGACTTCCTTGGACTGCAAGGAGATCCACCCAGTCCATCCTGAAGGAAATCAACCCTGAATATTCACTGAAGGACTGATACTGAAGTTGAAGTGCCAATACTTTGGCCACCTGATGCAAAGAGCTGACTCATTGGAAAAGGCCCTGATGCTGGGAAAGACTGAGGGCAGGAGGAGAAGGGGATGACAGAGGATGAGATGGTTGCATGGCATCACCGACTGCATGGACATGAGTCTGAGCAAGCTCTGAGAGATGGTGATGGACAGGGAGGCCTGGTGTGCTGCAGTCCATGGGGTCCCAAAGAGTCGGACACGACTTAGCGACTGAACAACAACAACATAGGTCTTCATGAATTTGTCATAAATCTTTATTTATCTTTTAAATAAACATTTAGGCTGTCTTACTTTTAACAATTATAAATAGCACTATGAATATATTATCATATAAATTTTGTGCATATTCTTGATTCTCTTCCTACAATAATTTCCAGGATGAGAAATTGCTAGGTTGAAAGGTAACACATATTTATACTTTATAAAACTCTTAACCTGAAATTATACTCCAAAATATTCACTCAGAGAAATGCTAAAAAAACCAAAAAACAAAAAAAGTTCATTTTACAGTCTATCAGGTTAAAGCCAGGATCACCACTGGTATGAGTCTTCAGGTTTATCAAACTCATTCAGCCATTGATAATGGCGGCTTCCACTGGATTCTGAAATTTAATCCTACAAGTTGCTTAGATTACAAAGTTTATCCAATACAAAAAAAAAACATTAAAACCTGGCTCACAGGTAGTAAAGCTCAAGTGAACACATGCACACAAAATGTCAATCACCTGCAAACGGCAAGAACTCCCATCAGTTTGTCCTTCCCCTGATTCCCCACCACACAAAACATCTGCCTTCCCAGAGGTGCTCAAGAAATGCTAAGATCCAGGCAAGCATCTTAGAGCATCACCGCACATCAGGGCCGGAAGGTGCGAGGGAGGAACCAGAGTCGGGTGGGAAGTGACGCGCCCCCAAGAGGGGCTGAGAGAGAGATCACAGCGGGCGGGGGCGGGAGGGGGCGTCTCCCCCGAGCCTCGGGGCGGGGGCGGGGGCGGGAGGGGGGCGTCTCCCCCGAGCCTTTCCCGGTGGGTGGTCAGTGCACACCCGGGCGGTGTCCACGCGGGAAAGCGGCCAGGAGGAGGCGCAGAAGGACAGGCCTCTGGTGGGCCGCACTGGCCTGGAGGCCACGCCCTCCTGCCCACGCCTTTGGGGTCCCACTTCTGGGAAGCGCCCACTCCCACCCTGGGACCAAGTCCACTGTCACCATCCAGACTCCCGGGTCTGGAGGCCACCCAAGGACTCGACAGCTGTCATCTCTGAGTCCATAAGAAAAAGTGAAAAGGAGTGTGTTAGTCGCTCAGTCCTGACCGACTTTTTGTGACCCCCCTGGACTATAGCCCGCCAGGCCCCTCTGTCCATGGGATTCTCGAAGCAAGAATACTGGAGCGATAGTCATTCCCTTCTGCAACGGATCTTCCTGACCCAGGGATCAAACCCGTGTCTCATGTCTCTCGCTTTGGCAGGCAGGTTCTTTACCACTAACACCACCTGGGAAGCCCCTATAAAAGATAAGGACCATTAAAGCAGACCAAAGCATTAAACCAGATAAACAGACTGATGCTCTGGCCGTCAGGCCCACTGGGTGGGAAAGGGCACCCCACGCCCCAATTCACAGGGGCCCTGCTTGACCTTGAGGGTTGACCTTGGCGTTTGATCCCTGGCTAAAGGAATGCAAAGCACTCCAACTCCTCTAAAGCTCTTCCCAGCTCACCCCCAGTGATCCACACCCCAGAAGAGAGGGTCCCGAAGCAGGTTGACAGGCGGAAGGAGGCTTCCCACAGACCCAGGAAAACCTGAATGTCTGTGACCCCGGGGCAGCCAGGAGTGCACATGGGCCTCCCTCTGTGTCAAGGGACCCTGGGCCGCCCAGGATGCGCCATCCACAGGCGCTCCGCAGTCTGAGACACGTGCACGTTTCCAACTGCTGAGGCTCAACCTCAGAGAGCAAGCTGGGAGGGAGTTTGCTGGAGGGAGCCACCCCGACCCGGAGTTGTGGTGAGCCCAGCTCCGCTCAGCAGGGCCCGCACGTGACCACCCCATCGAGGGCAGCACGTTGACCAGGGGCTGCTGGGATGATCTACAGCTTTGCACGTAGAGTCCGTTTATCCTCTTACAAGACTAACACTATGGTGCTGTTTCTGGCGCAAAGAACTAGCCTTTTTAAGAATCTGATAAATACTGGATTCTTGCCCCAAGACATAGAAAGCCTACGAAGATATATACTCAACCTTTCATGCACATTTTTGGTATGTGAAAACCACTGGAAAACTGACCCCTGCCTTTTTGGCCTTTTAAAATTATGGTTGTGATAAAAATAAATAAATAAATAAATAAATAAAATAAATAAAATTATAAAAAACAAGGTCTCCAGGTCCAAGGGCCTCCAGCAAGCTCTTTGGAGGGTCTGTGAGTTACGATAAGTAAGCCATGGTGGGCACAGTCTCCCCAGATGGACAGGGCTCTGGCTGGCCTGAGGATCACAGCTTCTCTCTCACTTGCATCAGGGTCCCACTCAGAATGGGGACGGGTAATGGGTTTATTTCAGCAGGTGCCACAGGCAGAAACCACTAGGACAGCAAAGCAGAAAACTCATTGAACTGCACCCAACACAGGCTTACAATAGCATCTAAGGATTTTCTTTTTGACTTCTTGTCTCAGATTTGATGTCTGCATTTTCCCTAAATTCAAAAGCAAATGCAACAAGAGATTGCTCACTGATTCTTTCAGCAACTTCGCCCCTCTCCTCCCACCACCCTTCTTGCAAGAATACTGTGTCCCAGCAGCCCCTCTGGGGAAAATAACTTTGAAAAATTGAATAGTGGATGCTAAATGACTTAATGGA